GAAGTTCTCGGGGCTCTGGGGGAGCAGGGTGGAAGGGTTGTTGAAATCGAAGGTGCTTTTCACTGGAAAGTGCCTTTTTTGACAAAAGGAATGTCTTGAAACATCTTTTTGTATTGATTGCAGCAAAACTTTATTCCAGGAAAGGGGAAATAGTTCTGAGGCAGCCCAGCATTTGCAGAGCAAAACTGGGAGGTGGAGGCTGGCTCTGGTCCGTTCAGTGACTTACCAGCAACCTTGTGAATGACTCTTGTGTGTAAAGACCAGAGATCAGGGATACAGATAATACAATCAGCTAAAAAATGAGAGGTTTTCCTTTTTTTTAAAATTTAATCTCAGGATATTCGCTGTTATTCAGTTTCTGGTATGGAAAAATATTCAGAATAGCTGAATTTTGGCAAAATAGAAAATTTGATTTCTCCTGTCTGCCATTTACACTGGGGTTTTGAAAATTGTCTCTAGGATGCTTAGGAGCAGGGATCCTGGGAGGCTGCTCTGTCTCACTCATCTTGAGCTGGAGCATTACACTGGGACTTCCTAGAGAGCGTTTTGCATTGCTGGTCCAAAACTACTGGGGATGTACAAACTTGTTAAGCCTCCTAATTACACAGCAGACGCAGTAAAACTCTGTTATGTCAAGTACTTCATATTGTTCTCTGGCATTGTTTGTTTGACAGGTTTGTCCTGTTTCCCTCTTAATTCTGCAAAAAAAGCAGTCCCTGCAGGAGCTGATTTTTTTTGCAGGCAGGGTGGTAACAGCTCCGTGACTGCCAGAGCTGTGTGCGATGGGGATTTGCAAGAATAGATTGCCCAAAGAGCTCCGTTCTGGGGTTTCCAGGAACACAAATGCAATAATAATATATGTACAGCATCAGCTAGAGATGGGGCTAGCTGCCCTTTGGTGGTAAATAGAAAGTCATGGAAACAAAAACTACCATAAATTATTAGGAAACACAAAAGGAAGACTTATTGACATGGAATCCTTAATGCCTGTAGCCTCTTCCAGCCAACACTGAGGAAAACTGTAGAAAGTCTGTAAGGTACTCTGATGCTTGTGACAAGTCCTGAAGGTCCTTCCTGAATCCCAGTGCCTAGGCCCTGTGAGAAGGTATGACCTCTTCCATGCAGGAATGTTGGTTTTTCTGTGTTAGTTGACAGCAGCTTGCTACTGTGGATAATTAAGATTGTTCACTTAGTCTGAAAGTAGGTATTTTCTCCCTGAGAAATAAATGCTTTTTGTGCATGTATCTGAAAATTTTTTAGTTCTGTGTTGAGGCCCCACTGAAGAACATGGGTGTCTCCCAGTTTGTAGAAGGGGACACTGAGGTACAGGCATTTCACAGGTAGATGTCAAATTGAAAGACAAGAGTTAACTCCAAATAATTTGGTTTAACTAGTAGCTATAGCAGCTTCCTAAACAAAGATCAGCTGAAGTGTTAACAAGCAGCTTATTCAATGTTTGTGAAACATCCTGAGATCCTCTGATCACAGGCTATTGAAGAGGGGGGATAGCATAGTCTAGTGGAAAGGAAATGGAGGGACAAGCAGATATTGAGGTAGTACTGCTTGTGACTGTATAACTTCTTGCTGAGGCTCTGGCAACACATCCATAGACTTGGTCGGTATTGCTGTTCCCACTCTGCTGCAGGCTGATGGTGCAGGAAGAAAACAAGCTGCTTCCTTGAAGAGTTCAAGCCTTGGCATTCTTGTGGCAAGATCCTGTGGCAGTTTATGAAATTGTCAAGGGGGTCTAAAACAAGAGGTATGGATAGCATAGACATGTGGGTTGAGGGTAACCTAGATCTCTGCATCCATATGGAGGTAATACTTGGTAGTGGGGACTCTGCAGTTTCACTGACAATGTCATAATGAGATGTGATGCCAAACAGGGAAAGGCAAATTTAACCTTGAAGGGAGATGCAGGCTTCTGACTTTGAGTGTGACAGGAAGAGGTTTTTGGGTAAGGTGATGAACTCAATAGCAGTGGAGCCTTTAAATTAAGATATCTTTTTACAATCTATACTTTAATTCAGCATCTTGGAGAAGTCCTAAGGAGTGAAGATGTAGGGATCCCTTTGGCCTTGTAATTTGTAAATCCGTTTATTCCCACACATCAAGAGCTGGGGAGAGGAGTTGTTTTCCAGCGTCATAAATGTGCTTCTAGTGCCTGACCACTTGGTTAAGACAATGACTGTCCTCAGGAGATCAGGTGTTTCAGGGCTGCTGGCAGGCACTGCATTGTGTCCAGGAAGGGTGTTTCTTCTCATGGTGTAATTAGCCAGATTAATTTAATTTTTGCCTTCCCCCAAAGCATTAGAAATGAACTGAAACCGGGGACTAAGCATACCAGGAAGAAGGACGTCTGGGGGGAAAGTGGGGGAGAGGGAGAGGAGACTGTGTACTCTTCCTGAGTCGGGGGAAGACCCCCAACTTTTTGCTATCTTCACGTTTTGTTTGTATCCTCAGAATTGTAGCTATTGCAGAATCTGGGGCCAGGCTTTGTAGGTTTTCTCTTTGCAACATGGGATCAGTCACTAAAGGTCATCTGTGTGACACTCATTTGAACAGTCCTTTGCCAGTTTTAGACTTGCCACCATAGCTGTGATGTGGGTTTTTGTGCTCTTTGTTTGTGGTATGCACATCTAATCTCCTTAGACTAAAGGACTTCTGTCCTTATCCAAGTTGCTGAGCTGTGTTGCAAGAAACTGCATGAAATTTTAATAAAATGATATGCAGGAGGTTTGACTAGGTTTTAGGCAAAGGAGTCCTTTCTGTTCTTAAACTGACAGTGAATAGAAGTTTTTCCTCATGGAAGATGATTGGAAAGCATCCTGAAAAAGCTTCTAAAAAGGAGAAGTTTAATATATTGGGGAGGCTTGAAGAGTGGTGGCATAGAGGAGACCTTTTTGTTCTGATGAAATAATAGAAATAATGGGAGATGTTATTGTTGCAAACTGTACCTTTGTCTTCAACAAATGCCATGTTTAAGAAAACAGAATTAAGTTTTGTTGTTTTGTTTTGTTTCTTTTTTCAGTCTCAAGCAGCCTGCTATTACATGGTAAGAGGAGAGGTAATGATGTGGCTAATTAAAGGGCAGCAGTGCTTCATTCCTTAGAGCTTTTTATTCTGTAGAAAATGGGTCAATTACTTAGAGAAATTGTTTGCCAACAGGAGGCAGGAAAAGCCTTTATGCCCACTCCTCACCTTCCTTTTGTGAGAAGCACTGCCTACCTCCATAGCAGTTGCAGTACCTTACTAAGCTTTCAGATGTCAGAGCCATGTCCTGCAGATGGGGAAATGATGAGCAAACTTGTATGTGGTGCCTTCTGTTCTGTGTGTGCCTGTCTAGCTGCAAATGAAGCAGTGTCCAACAGTGTTCCTGGGTTGTTCCTGGGGTGATAGAGGTGAAGTTGAACAATACAAGTGGGAGTTCTGATTCAAAACAAAATTTGCTTAAGGTGAAAGGTGAAGTATGGCATATTTCCTTGCTTCTTTTGAAATAAGTTTGATCATCTAGTTAGCTAATGTTTTCCAGCACAGAAGGTATTACCTGCTTGTGGCTTGCTTGGTACAGGTTTGTAAATGATCCCTTTTTGCTTCCCAGATCTGCTTCCTGTATGTGTTTTAGTATTCTCTGATGACTTTATCACCTGACTATGTTGCTTGCCCTTAGCTCTACAGGCTCAGGTGTAGACTGGGTGGGGGAGTAGAGGGCTGGTTAGCCTTGTACATCAGAAATAAACTGGTCTGCTTCTCACATTTCTGTGATGATACATGAGGCAGGAGTATGCAGATGGTTCCTGAGCTCCTAGGTAGGGTGGTTGTGCAGGCGACTACAAGGAGTCTTGAAAGAAAGCCAGACTGGGCAAAGGCTTTGGCTCTGCAGGAACAGATTACCAACATCTGTGCCAATTTGGAACAACGCTCTCTTTCTGGTTAGTCAGAGCCCTACATTCCTGGTTGTAAATGATACACCCAATAATGTCTAGTGTGAACCAGAGTCTATGCACCTCACAGTCCAGCTAAAATGAGTGTAAAAGACTTTGCAGGTACATGCTGCTCTTTAACACATCCTTGGAGGCAGCTAGACTGCTTTAGAGGTTGGTTTGTAGGCATATCTGAATGAGCATACCTATCAGCTACTATGTCAGAAGTGTCTAATGATTGCATAAAAGAGGGAAGTGTTTTATGTTACCCTTTTGTTTTGTTCTGGATTTTTATTGGTGTCAGTGCACTAGAGTTCACCACAACCTTATTTCAAAACTCCCCCGCCCTCACATGCTTCTGTCAAAGCTGGATTAAATGACTGAGGGAATCTTCCCTACCACAAGTGCTGCTGTCTTGCTTTCATTGCATAAGATCCAAGCATTAGTAGTCACTAGGTAAGTGTTTATATCATAGCCTGGTGAAGCTGCTGTTTGACTCCTTCCTTGCTGGATCTTTGCTCTCAGTTGTGCCATATACTGAAGGTAGCCTGTATGAAAAATTTCTCTGGAGTACCTTTCTGTCCTGTTTTCTCTGATTCTGCTGGGAGCATGAGGATGATGAAGTACTTCTGAAGGGGGAAGCTCTCTCTTTAGTATGGGTAGCTGTGGCATAGTGCTGTGTGTACTGCCAAGTGCCTTCTGGGGATGGGGAGTCTGTTTTGATTTTTTTCATTGTGAATACATGCATATGCTGGTGGAGCCAAACTCATTTGGCTCCAGCAGCCTAGTCTGGGCTAAGTCTTGGCTGTGGCTGTGCCTATTCAGAGCTCTCGGTGAAATAGTTTGTCTCTGCTTATGGCAGAGTATGCCTGATGATAGTGGTATATTTGGCTGTTTCCTCTCCTGCTAACCAACATAGGAAAGCCAGGACACTTCCTTAACACACGGGACACTTTGACCCATGTATTTTCTTTGTATTTTTTATCAGCAGAGGTTTATGGTAAGGATGCTTTCCAGTAAATTCTAGAGAAAGAGTTATTTCTTTTTGTCATTTCTGGTATTTTCAAGATGTGTACAGTTTCCCCTAGTGGCATGATACATACCATGTGATTTGGTTTATTTTGATCCAGCAGTTCTTTCCAAGGCAGATCTCACAATTAATCTTTTAATTGGAAGTGGACTTGCACAAGAGCTGCAGGATGTAGGGCACAGTTTATAAAAATGCCCGAATGTCTACTATGAAGAGAGGAGCTGCTGTGAAGGTAATGTAATGATTCTTCAGCAATGTTGAGCTTGGCTATTGTTGCTTTTGGTTTTCCTTTGCCTCTTAATACTTTACCATGGAGATGAGATATTGAGTTTCCAAAACATCAGCCTCAGCCACTTGAGCTGACAGAGGTTAGCATGGTATTTAAGAGCACCCTGAGCAGCTAAGCACTTTCCATTCTATGCAATGGAACACTCAGGTGCATATATAAAGAAGGCAGTTCATTATGTTTTATTATATGCCACATAACCTGTGGATTTATAAAAGGTTTACTTCTAGAATCTAAGTCTTCCTGTTATATAATGATAGCCTTTTGGAAACAATGCCTCACTTTAGTGTTTTTATTATAAAGCGTTACTGCTCACCAGAAGGGCAATTAAACGCTTACTTTTTCATAGATTAGCTAGAGTGTAATTTGTTTTCAAAGATCAGATCAATAACTAGAGCATGTTGATTTCTAAAAAGGTCATGCATGCACATTTTCTGATTTCCCTCTGATTTTCATGGTACAAACTCCAAGAGCTGCGATAATGCTTAGTACTCCAAGTTGGGATTTGCTGCCTTGTGTGTGGGGTGGTGGGAGTAGGTTTTTGTTTTCTTTTTTTCTTTTCCCAGCTATATATCAGACACAGAAGGTGGGAAAGTGTCCCATTCTGATGCGAAAAATGTAGTTTTCTTGGTTGGAGATCCTTGTTTGAGAAACAAGGACTGGACAATGTCATGACAATGATGAAAATTTGCTATGCTTTGGACCAGGGCTTAGCAACATTTGGGGTATTAAAAAGCTGTAAGTGCTAACACCAGCACTTCCACTGCATCTTTCATTTGAGAATCTCTCTATTCTTAATAAATTTTCACTGTGTCTCTGTGAGGCTGGTATTATTAGTGTCATTTTGAAGACAAGTAGATATAAAATGCTTGTATAAGCACATTCAGCAAGCCAGAAAAAGGCAGGAATAAAAATCAGGAATACTAATGTTTCAACTTGTTTTTGAGGTACAATCTTGTACTTTTTTTTTTTTTTTTTTTTTTTCAGAAAATAGACTCAAGGAATTAATTTTGGTAGCTTTTTTCTCCCCCTTTTTTCCCATTGGGTTAGGCTGCATAAAAGTGAGACGTTATTATGCAACATATCTAAGTGTGCATGTGATACTTGAAAAAATGGTAATCAGATAAGTTGCCAGGCAACAGTACCCTACCTTCAATTACCAAAAAGCCAATGAGTGTGGTTTCATGATGTAACATGTGCTCTCTACTTCTTCATAAAGAAAGTGTAGGTGGAGTTTTGTAAGAGTTGCTCCTTTTTAACACATCTCCTGCTTAACCTGCCATATTGCAAGATCAGATTTGACACCAGTTGTATAGAAAGGTATTCACAGAACCCGAAATCAACAACAACAAGTTAGATGAGCTCTTAAAGATAATGAAAGGTATGTGAATAAATATGAGTAAATAACCATCCCGTCCCATAGCTCATTCTTGGGACTGTGAAAAATAAGAAAACGCACAAGAGATTTATGTTAAAAGGTAGATGGCAGGAATACATGGCAAGCTGTGAGAAGTCTTAAAATGTTCAGAGTGGCCCATTGGCCCAAAAATGTTGAGAGCCATGGTAATGCATGAAAACATGAATGTAAACCCAGCTGGTTCATTTTGATTGCCTTAGCAGGAGCAGAATGAAAGAAACAAGCAGGGATGAGTGTACACAGAGGAAAAAAAAAAGCGAGACTAATAATGTCAGACAGATCTAGCAGCATGAGGGAATTGGATTGTGTGTTTGTTTGAAACCTGAGTTTAATTTTTTTTTAAACAGGTTGCAAGATAGCAACAAAAAATAAAGACTCTTCGCGGTTATTTTAAATGCATTTTTGCTTTTGGCAGTAAATAGCCACAGAAGCATTTGCAGATACTGTAGTTGTATGGGGATGCCACGCATCTGCCCAAGCCTCTTCAACTACTGGGTGGTGGCATGGCCTTTGAAAGAAATCTGAACCTCTGGAGGTCTAATGTGCTTCTTGGGGCTTTGACAGAAGTTTGGAGTAGAGACAGGGGACCCACCTGGATGTATCTGGGAAAGGATGCACATAACCTTGGAAATCACTTGTTTTCCTTGAGTAACTGCAAGTTTTTGCTTTCCAGAGTTGGTTTTTCAATTATTTTGTTGTTGTTGTTCCAGAAGGAACAAAAGATATTTTCATTTCAAGAGGTGGGGGACTGTGTAGCAGTGCATGCCCCAGGTGTCCCTCTGAGGTAGTTCAGTCCAGTGTAGGAATAGGTTCAAAAGGCCTCATCAAAAGACATGGTGGGACTTCATTTAAAAGGGAAATCTGCATCACCCTCTGTGCAGGTCCTGCCAGAGCAGGATGAGTTTCTGAGAAGACACATGCTCACTTTCTATTTCCAAATTTGGCACTTTTCCCCCAGAAGAATCCCAGATAAGTCATGGAGCAATGTTGTGACTTGGTTTCTTTGTTGGACAGCTGGATAGGTGCATGGATCCGAGCTTTCTTTTTAGAGCCCTGTGGAAATAATGAAGAAGTGTAAATACTAAAATAGACAGTTGAAGGGACACATTACTAACCAATTTCTAGTCAGGAATTTGCTTTCCTTTTTGTTTGTTTGTTCTTTGTATTCTCATTTGATGAGCACTACTGCTAAATTATGCTCATGTGCAGTCCCCAGCCTGCTGACACGAGGAATGTTGGTGTCTATGTAAGAGGAACAGTCAGAACATGGGCAAGTTTTGGGAAGCCTGAGGTTTTAGGTTTTAACTATTTTTATATAGGTAATTGAATGGTCACACTGCCGTTGTTGGGAGTTTGTTTGTTTTTTCCCTCTACGATAAACATTACACATTTTTAATCATTAGTATTTTTACAAAGAAAGTTCATTTATATACAAAAGGAAAAACAAATCCCCTTTTCTGAACACCTTAAGCTTTGTATTAATCAGGTGAGCTTTAAGGTTGAACCTTTCTCTTCAGCTCTACTGCTCTGCTCATGTGTATTATGACATAGTCTTTGCTAATGAAGATTTTCTTCAATGAGTATTTTCTTTCAAGTGCAGATACATGTGTGGCTAAAAGTATAGTTTATCAATACTTGGAGTTCATAGAAATGAAGTATTTTGTGAAAGAAGAACTTCTTGCTGCTAAGTGGTGTGTTGTGAGCCAAATCTGGGAGGTGATACAGCTGAGAACTAACAGCCATTTGGGTAGCATGGGTGTAGCATTCAGATGGCTGATGAGTTCCTTGATCTGGTTCCAGGTGAAGCCCCATGGATGGCCTGAATGCCCATGCCAGGAAAAGGGGTGAATTGAGTGGAACTGCATTGTCCTAATGTTAGATTGGCCTGAAACCTTTTGTAATGTTCATATTTCTTGTTGAAGGAGTTGGGAGTGTGTTGCAATTGCTTATTTTGTATGAGTTTGTTCTTCAGTCTTTTACTTATCAAATTATATACACGTATATCTGACTATGTAAAAAACATTCTCAGTGTTCTTGTGATTCTAGGCAAATGCTTTTAAAAATTTTGTTTGCATGTGTCTGATAAAGAGTTCAGTAGAAACCTATATCCAATGGTGACAAAATGGGTATAATGAAAATAGATAACATTCAAATAACTTTTAGGAACATCAAAATGACAGTAATTTATATCAAAGCTAGATAACAAACAAGTTCTTTCCCAGTCTGATATACAAATACCTAGCTGTTGAAGTAGAAACTAATTCTCATGATAAGAGAGACTCCAAAGTAGGTGCAAGCCTTGGTAGATAGACAGTAGGTGCTAAATGTGTCCCTATAATACCCATGTTACATTGATTTAATTAGTGGTTTTATGCTATTCATTGCTCTGTTAATCTTGGTGGGAAGGTTTTTTTGGGAGGATTACTTATTTAATCTGCATTTTTAATTGGAGTGTTTTTGTAGTACAGTATCATGTAAGTAAAAACAGTGTAGGTGTGGCTTTTGTTTTGTTGGGTTTTTTTTAAGAAAACATTTCTCTTGAATTCCTCTTGTACTTTGGTGCTCAAAACCTCTGAGATTCAGTAAGATAGCGTGAAGAGCTCATTTGTTACACAGTCTGATGCGAGTGTCCTTGCTTTAACTTCTTCATATGCAATTAATCCAGAAAAATGCTAGGTATAGACAAGTACTTGGATTTTAGGGAGGCAAAGTTAGGAGAGAGAGGGTGGGGGTGAAAAGGAGGGTTACTTAAAAAATTGAGGGATTGGCTGGGAAAACAGAGATAAAGTAATTTCTGACAGACCCTTGAAGGGTTAACTGAGACCTTGGCTGACATGGGGTAGCAGTGAAACTTTGGTCACTGGCTCCAGTGAAGTTGCTCCATGTGTTTGCTGTGGCTGAAGTGAAGAGTAGAAAGGCTCAGCCTCACCAGAGGAGAGGCAGCTGTCAGGGAGCTGCCCTGGGCAAGGGATCTGCAGGCTCTGAAGAAGTCAGGTCTTCCAGGGCCCAGTGTACTGGAGCTAAGCTATCCACACCCATAGCTCTTTCAGTGTTTAAAGCCTCTCTTGCATTGTGCTATGTTAAGATTAAACTGTACTTCTTTGGTTTAGGAAGGCTGTCTGGTTGGTGTATTAGCTGTTGGTCACATACACCTGGTCTGAAAGCGACTGGCGTCTGAAACACCTTGGACCTGCCAAAGGCAACCTAGTCTACCTGTGGATGCTGTGAACTAGGAGCTGACCAAAAAGTGGGAGAGCTCCAGGATCCGTCCCTGGAAAAGGTAAGGTCTGGAGGGTAAAACTGGTTGGACTGCACTTGTAGACCAGAAGAACAGAGCAGTTCTCTGAGTACAGAACTGACCGCATTGTAGATGAGACTTTGAAATTTAAGTATGTAGACTGTGAAGTTATTTCCTTCGGTTTAGACTACAGGTTGTTTTCTAGAGGTGTAAAATCTCCATTTGCATACATCACCCTTGTTTTCTGTTTACTTTGAGTCACATCATTCTGATTGCTTGTAGTTTATACTGCCAAACTTTTCAGTGTTATTGTCTCTTTAAAACCTCACACTCTGTTAGCCTTAGGCAGTTAAAACAATCAGGACAGTGGAACAGTGTCTCTGAGCTAAACCAGAGCAGTAGGTAAAGAACTGAGGGTTGTTCTCTCCTGTAAAAGCACAGGTGTGAGTCGGATGATGAGGAATCTATTCCTGGCCCTAACAAGCAGTGCAGTCTCTGCACCTGATTCACCAGTGTGTTACTCTACTAATCTTTTTAGCCTCATCTTGCCACTCTCTTGAGTGCTGTGGCAGTCTGTTACATTTGCACAGACTGCATGTAAAATGCTATCAAATTGAAAGGATGAGAAAACTTGATATTGATTCTGGTAGATGAGCTGGACATTGTGGGACCAGAACAACAATCTCCAGACCCTGCAGCATTTTTTGCACGCTCTGTGTGTCTGCAATATGTGGTGTGGTGCCCTCGCAGGATGTTAATCATGCTCTGATCCAGCATGCCCAAGGGTTCAGGCTACAGTATTGTTTTCCCTATTGTAGATAAGGTTTCATGGGTGGGTTGTGCACAGTCCTTTAACTGAGAACTCGCTTTGAAAATATAGGTGCTACATGTATAAAATTCAGATACATGTAGCACCTTCCTCCCTCAGCCTGTCCTGTCTGTGGTGTCTCATTACCTTCTCTTGTGGTAGTGCCCAGGAGATGCTGCGTTGGGGTATTCTTTTGTTCCACTGTTGTAGGTATTCTTGCTGATAGACCCCTGTCCCTCTCTTAGACTGGGAAGGAGACCCAGTCAGCTGCTGAAGGAAAGCAGCAGACTTAATTGTGGCAGTGCTAACGGTGTGGATAAGCAGGGTCAGCTGCTGCCTCGAGCTCCAGCTGTGATTTTGCTGCCCATTGTGCAGCTGAATACAGGGCTTCAGTTGTTCATCAAGTGTCATCTGTTGAGCAGTAAAGTCCAGACCAGTGCTGCAAAGTTATGACAAAGCAAGTGTCAGCAGCTTCCCGAGAAGGCTGCTGGTGATGAACTGAGCCTTGTATGAGTCCAGCAGTTTTGTCAGTGATGCAGTCATGAGTATTTCTGAAGAAAGCTGTGTCTGGCAAGTGCTCTGCTGTATGGTACTAATGCTGTGAGTAGAGCAAATGCTGCTTCTTGCCTGCCCTCAGGAACCATCAAAGAAAGTGCAGAAGTCTCCTATTACTGTTATAACAAAAAACGGAGTGCCATATGGGCACATAGAAAACATAGATCCATTGGCAGCAGAACAAGACTATGAATTATTCATTCCTCCAATGCCTCCTGTATGTTCCATCTACTCAGGCTGTTCAGGATGCTGTCTGCTGGAGTTGCAGACAGATCTGCTGCCAAAGTCATGGGGGCATGACCCTGCAGACTGTGATCACCACTCCGTTCAGCTTGTGCTTAATGAAACTGGCTTGGGCATTGTGACATGTTAAGAACATAGAAGTAACCTTTGAGCACCCCATGGGCTGTTGGTAGGAATTCTTGTAACACCAGTGAATCTGGAATGCATCTGGTAATGCCAGCCTGGAATTGTCTGTGAGGTAAGGGCAATGAGTTAGGACCAAGATGAAAGCCCTACCTGCTCTGGCCCATTATGCAAAGGGGAGGTAGGAGGGCTGCATCTTTTGTGTAGTATTGCTTTGGGTTTTCTAAGTGAACATATACTGTGTCACTTTGTTCCTAGCTCGGTCTTGCTGAGAAGCCAAAGTGTCCTCTGCTAAAAGTTCCCTGAGCACAGGCAGCATTTTTCTGTCCATGCAGAGTGCTTTAGTGGAGAGGAGTGTATTTTTATGTCTGTTTGGGAACATGTGAAACACTTAGTTTTTCTCAACTCATTGACTAGTGGGCATTTTTCTGTGTAATGGTTGTCAATTGGCAGCTGAATGTGAGAGGCACTGAGGACTTATGAAGCTGCAGAGACTAAATTCTCCTCCAACTCTTCCATGAACTGCTCTGAGCTCAGGTAAGAGGTGCCCAGTGTGAGAGAAGGTGTTGCTGATGGTTTGTTCAGAGGCTGTTCTTCAGCATAAGATGCACATTTTTCCCTATTTTCCTTCTACAGCTTTTAGAGTTGCTCTTGGCTATTAGGCTTTTGCTGAGAGGTGTTCAGATTTTTAGTGCAGGAAAAGCTACCTGTAACTAGCAACAGCTGTAGAAATGATGGGCTTCTTAAAGGAAAAACGTAACCCTTGCATTTACAGCTGTCTTGTAATGTGCCCTACTCCATTTTGAGAGCACTTCAAATGTTCTTAAGAGCTTTGCGGAAAGGAAGAAAATGTAACTAGTCAAAATAAGACACTGTAACTTGTGTTCAGAACAGTTTTCAGCTTCTCCTTATGTCAGCTAGATGGATTTGCCCTAGAGTGAGTCACCTCTGGAGTAGTCCAGAAGCTGAGGGAAGGTGTGGAGGCTAAGATAAAATCCCAGACTGCGTTTGAAGAACCTCACTGAAAGAAGTGGTGAAAGCATCCAGGGGGAAGACTGCTGAGCTGGGTTTGGAGGTTGTGTAGGTTTCACAAAGAGGGCTGTCAAGGACGAAAGGCTTGCCTCTGAAGCAGGTAAAATGTGTTTGTCGTCCTGTGGTCTTGACCAAAGTAAGAAGGTGATAAACTGGAAGCATACATTTTTATTTTGTTTTTAATCAGTGAAAGAAGTAGACAGACAGAGCAGGCAATGGATTTGTGGTTTCCATAGTGATGTAGCTGTGGAAGCTTTTGTATGGCTGAGCTTTGCCCTCACTGCAGTCACACTTGAAGGCTATGAGTGTTCAGGGAAATGTAAATATACATCAAACATGGCAGTGGCTGAAAATGCAACTGCATCTTCATGATTTGTTATGTTTGCTATGTTATCTGAATATGTACATGTTCAGAAGCTCAGCTTATTTCTTCTTTATCTGAAACAGTGCATCAAACTATATTGATATCACAGTTCTTGCTGCGCCAGGCAGTGATACGTTGACCTTTGTTCTGGCTGCGCCAGGCAGTGATACGTTGACCTTTGTCCTTTGCTTTCTCTCCCGTACTTTCCCGCACATCCCAGAACACTGATTCCTGTGACTCTGCACCTACACTGATTTCACACAAGCACTAATCAGGAAATGTACACCTAACTCTTTCAGGGCATGCTAACTGATCAGAGTACCGCCTTGTGAAACTTGCAGAAGTGTACTTCCTGCTGTTCTTAGCCATCAACTTGCTTGTTCCTGTCATCTGACATTAAATCATGCTTTATTTTAATGGCCACTTTGAGCGTGTTTTAACAGTCAAAATACATGACCCTTGGAGAATATTTGCATATGGAGACAGCGGTTTATGACTGTGAATGGTTGAATTTAAGAGCCTTTTATTCTGGCTTTCAAAACAAGCTGGAGGTAGAATTTTTCAGTTTCTTAGAGATGAGATTACCAGTGGTAATCTTAGAGGCAGAGGAATGAAAATGCTCAATGTGAATGCTGGATGGATACATCAGACAGTTAGATGCCTGCTAGTCCTGCATACCCACTTACATAGTTTAGTCTTTGTGGTTCACGGGCATTTGTGCTTTGTCTTCTTCCATTTTACTGTAGTGGTGCTGGATGCTTCTCTTGCTGTCTCCCTAAACAAATCTCCCTTACCTTCAGCATTTGTTTTGCTTGTCTAATGGATGTAATGGGTCATCTGTTCCCTTTATAGAAAGGAACGTTAATTATTTTCAGAAGGCTAATTAGGTTGCTAATGAGAAGCTCTACTGCAGAAATATTACCTTTAATTACTCATTCTTAAGTGCTGTACAGAGAAGCTTATTGAATATGCTGTTAAGTACAAATTCTTGTATCTGGCTCAGAGATGCTCCTTCAGGCTCCCAGAAAGAAATACTTTGGTCAACTTGGGAATCTGTGTGACACAGATGACTGAGCAAATGAGATTGGTGCTGAGAGCTGCCTAGTCATGCAGCCTTTTGACTCAGTGTCAATTTTGTGCTTCTGTGACTGGCTGCAGTTGCTCTTTGTATTCCAGTTTTGCTTGATGACTTTTGTCGGTATTGGTAACCAATTGTGCTACTTGCCAAACCAATCTATAATTAGTTGCAGCCCTCACACCAAATAGTTTAGTCTAATTATCCAGATGGTAGCCAGAAGCACATAGAGGTGCAGTGACTTGTCCAAGGTCATGCTGCAGATCACGACAAACCTAGTAATAAAGCAGAGGTTTTGTCAGTCCTGTGTTAGTGCACTGCACTGTTTGGCCCCTTGTGTCTCTCTTAGGGCCAGCAAAGCTCACAAGACTTGCATCAGTTTGGATATGGCTTCATGAGGCAGCACAGCTGCTCAACAACCCCATCCATGTATCTACCTTGGCACTGACTTAGGAAGGTCCTTTTGCTTCTCCATCTGAGTCCTGGCTTCTAGTTGCTTCACTCCTTTTTTTCACCCTTTGTTGTAGAAATCTCAGTGCCTTTTAGAATTGCCCTGGGAGAGCTACTATATTCTGAATGATGTTTTAGTACTCCCAGATGAGAGTTGGGATGGATCTCTAACTTTCCCTGCTTTTTGAGTCCTAAGCCTTCATGAAGCTCTGCAGAAGAGCTTTGCTTTTTTGTAGCATCCCCTGATGTCCAGTCCAATTCCTGAATCCGCTCTTAGCCAGACTCTTGGAATTCTTTACACACGGTGGCTCTACCAGGGAAAATGGTGGGGGAAGCCTGCTGAATGGGGGCCGCTTCCATAAGAAAATGCTCTTTATGCTTTTATGTACTGA